AAGTTGTGCCAAAAATCATTGTATTCAAACAGATCTAAGCTCTTATCTCTAAATTCCACAAAGACTCCAATACTGTCAGATTAAGTTAGCACAGCTCTTATTGCAAATATTCCTAAAACTCTCCAGTGTAATTTCAATTGTCTTACCATTTTTGTACAAGAGATGTTGCCTTAGAAGGTACTTTGTCAGTCCATTCATTCTTGAGGATGAAGATAATGACAACATTTCATATTTAAGGTATTAGAAAAATCCTTATTAGGATTGAGCAGTTTTTGCCTAAGCATGAACCCTTTTCAATCCAAAATAATGAAACTGAAAGACAATACAATTCTTTCTGATTTCATATACTAGTTTCATATATGGCTAGTCAACTAATCAGTCTCAAGGGAACAGTTTTGGTAGAGTTTTACTGAAAAGCTGCGTAGCAGTCTCAGGGAATGGTTGTTATCAACATAATATAAATTAAATTCTTTGGCATTGTCACCTTCATATAACTCCAGTTTTGACTAATGGAACAATCTCCTCTGACTGCTACATATTTTTCTTAATGAAGTTAGAGAAAACAGTATTTTGACTATTTTGCTACTATATACATCAGTTCTAAAACTGGTAAGAAAATGTTATTTTTCAAGATAGTAAAGGGTTCAAATAAAGTTAGATTTGGTAAGATTTAATCTTGCTGAGTTTGTACAGCTTTTCCAATAATGCACTGCTTCAGCTCACAGGGTGTCTTGCCTTCACTAGGAGATAATACCTTCAAATATACATTATTTCAAAAAAATTATCAGAACAAAGGAAGAAATATCTCCTTTTAAGACATTATGTATGCTGCAAATTGTACCCATTCTAAGTGCTAAAACTAAAATATAACCAATCAGATCTGCACTAGAATGTTGCACTCCAAGATTGATTTAGGTAATCATAATTCCATTTAAAAGGAATAAATTATAAAAACCTAAAAATATAAGTGTTTAGAAAACTAAATCTGTAAGTGTTTAATTAAGGAATATGCAAGAAGAAATTTGCAAGGCTGACTGCAGCAACTTATACAATGCAGTCCATGATGACTAGTGAAATGACACTTTCTGTGGTAGGGAGAAGCTCTGCTTCAACTGAAATCACTGAAAGCTATAGTTGTTCACCTTTTTTTTGACACATCTATTCATTAGCTGCCTAAATTTTCATCACACCTCTAAACTGAGGGGTTGACAGGTGAGTTAAAACTAGGGACACAATTTGAAGCATCATATGTCACTCAGTTTAGACTGATATTCCTAGAGGCAATCCATAAGGTCGTTTTTGTGTCTAACTACAACACAAATTTTCCTACTCTCCTTGCAGAGTAAATGTTCCACTCCAATGAAAGCAGCCATGAGAGTAGTAAAGTTCTTGAGTGACCTTAACATCATGTTACTCCATTTTAACTGGACAAGAAGACTAGAGCTTGAGAGTCCAGTCCAGGATCTCTGAGGAGAAAATTGTTATCATCAACAGCCAGAGACAGAAATGAACAGACATAACTCCTCAGCTGCTCTGTACTGTACTTCTTGCCCTTTATGAAAATGCAGTGGAATTTCATCTAATTGTATGATTTGATTATTGACTCTTACAAGAGATAAAATAGGTGAATTTTCTCATGAGACTACTCATAATAATCACTTTTGAATTAGCTTCTCAGAAGTTGTGGATATTGGTACTTGTGCAAAACATTCAGTTATGTAAGCATCAACATTTGGAAGAGAATACAATATATTTTATACAAAGATAATTACGAGACTGAGCCTTGACACCGTGTAAGTACTGAAATCTGAAACAAACAGAGAATACACAGATCAAGAAAAAACCCATTTTTCTTAGTTTTGTGAATTCAAATTATTTTGTGTTTACACTAAAAATTGTTTTCCTTAACAAAACATAAAATAGATGATAAAACAGATAGTTTTGGCAGAGAACTGGTGGTTGCATAGCACACCATGTATTAATGCTTTCTGACATTACTTTTAGTAGTGGAAATTGCTTATGCATCTATAGATATTTTGTAATTGCCCTTTACAAATAGAAAATATTTCAACAATGAACAATCAATTTATTTTACAAGTGACTTCTTCGTACTACAGGTGATCACTGCTTCATTTCATCTTAAACATAATATTGATTTAAATGCTTTAATTATACTATTCTAAAACTAAGAAATAGCTGATATTACATGATGCAGAATGTCTATTAAGATATTTTGACAACTATGATGTTAAGAATTTTATTCTGTGAGAAAATAAAACAGAATTCAGAATTTCAGACCTTTCCCTGTGTTCTCATATACAAAACCACTCATTCAAATTTTATGCACAAAGCTGCTAAATTTTATAAAGGCACTAAGCGGAACACTTTGTTCCAAATGCACAAGAACATGTCTAATGCCATATAACTGGTAACTATCACATATAATTTTATACTCACCCACAGTCCTATGCAGATAAAAGAGAATATAGCTTGTTTTCAGAGATATATAAATTGTATATGTGGTTGTCTATGCCATATGAAACAACATCCTTAGTCTTATTCCAAGTACCCTCAGCTAGAAAAAACATCATAATCCATTTCCTTAATCTCAGCTAATGTGAATCACCAGACCAGGTTCACCCCAGGTAGCCATTGTTCAGAGCAGGACGCGTAACATCTCATTCAGCACATCCTCTTATATGATTTTAAAACGCTACTTACATTTTAAATATTTGATTTCTATAATTTTCTGTTTACTTAGATTGTTCAAGAGACTCATGGAACCACATAAAATAAAAATGTGGGCGGGGAAAGTAGGTCACCTATTCTCTTCCTGGGCGGGGAAAGTAGGTCACCTATTCTATCTTCTTGTTAGAGTAGGGCTACGCTCCAAACTAAATTCTTTAATGATATAAATTTTAAATATGTTAAAATGGAGCTTCTACCATTCACCTTCTGAGACTATTTATTAGCTATGTCAAACCCTTAAATAGCATTAATTCTTGATTCTCTTCATTCATCTCATCAAGTTGATCCTCTGTGCTAAAGATTCTCCCATATTTTCTCTATTCAGATAGCACAATGAAAATATTTCCACAGTTTCTTTCACAACACTCAGTAAACCACGATGGTCTGATGGAGTTCTGTCACCCATGAGGCATTCTTCATTTCAGCATGTTGGAAAGAAGGCAATGACTATAAATGTGTGTGAATATAGTTTATGAATAGACGGGAGGATTACATTTAACTGTACCCTAATTATACCATGGAATGTGAGGCTTTTTTTCTTTTTTCAGTGGAAATACTATGTTTCCAGATGGAAACTGTTCCATCTAATTGCTACCAGATGTATAATCTGATTTAGAGCTTCTTTCCTTAATCAGGATTACATCAAGCTCTCAAAGCTAGCTGTGTAGAACAGTTACAAAAACATTGCTCAGTAGACTCTACCACTACATGCCATAATGAGTTTTTAACTAGTTTTCTTAGTAGAAAATTCAACACTTATAGAAGTTTTAAAATACCACTTCAGTTCCACTTTCATAAGATGCATACGTCTGGACATTAAATTACAATTTTGCACAGATATTTTGCTATGAACAATGCTTTTTAAAATAATATATTAATATAATCATTTAGGTCCTTAATCTACCTCAGCTAATGTACTTGTATTCCAATCAGTATTCTATTGTTTACACTCGGTCAGAAGATGAACAAGTGCAAATTCTATTCTGATGTCTTATAATTTAACCACTTACAACAGGAACTTATATTGGGTTGGTTTTCTTTTAAGGTCAGGATTTAAGATATCATTGCTTCCCTCATTAGCTTTCCAGTGCATGCAAAGCCACTTCCGATAGCCAGCTAATCCATCAGTAGCTTCTGTGTACCACTAGAACTTGCGACCCAAGAAATAATACTTGTGGGACCTGGTGAAGATGACATTCAAGTGTCACCATTTGACAGTTTGAATGCCTCTTATTTCTCTGAGATTTAAAAAGGCTTACAAAGCTTCTGTCCAGACATATGTAACTTAAAGCTCCACCATGCTCATTCTTGCCCTACAAACACTCCATATATTCTGAAAAGATTGATGAAATCATCTGTATAGTAAAATCAGCAGCATAGTAAAAATAGCAGCAATAGCACTATGCTTAATTCAGGCTTAAAACTAACAAGCCACAAAAATATTTTCACTGTCCTTAAGCAATCAATACTGAAACAAAACCACTTTTCATCCATTCATATGGGCAGCTTAACTGACATCTATGGAATTATTAAAATGATATTATAAGAATATAGCCTTAATATTTGCAGAACAGTTGTTCTTTGTATATAAACCATTCACAAAATAAAATTGGGAAGCATAAAATTAGTCCAGAAAATTTAAGCAAACAAAATCAGGCCACATGAGAAAACATAGCAGTAATTAAAATTTAATTGCAAGTAGGTTCATAATTTTCCGGAGTTGCTGCCATTTTCACTCTTAAATTACAAGTCTGTTTATTTCCAGAACATATTCATTTTGATACTGTTGGCTTTAAAATTTTAAAATAGTTTTTTGACAGTTTCGTCAAAACCAAAAAAAACCCACAAAAGTTTTAAAAAGTTTAAAGTCAGTTCACTGCAAACAGTATTATAGTGCTAAACATAGAAATGAAACTTTTTCCTATAGAACTGAAGTTAAACGTGGAAATGAAAGATAACTGAAGCCCAGGGAAATGAAAGAGACTGTCCTAGTCAAGACTACTTAGACATTCAGCAAGACCAGTGAAACAACTCCTTGTTTGGAAGTTTATACATTGAGATCAAACCGCAGACATATGGATTTTGATAGACATTCACCACAAATGACTATCAGAGACCCCCAGCAAAGCCCCTCATG